CCCCCGCCCGCCCGCCTCACTCCCCCCCTCCGCCTCCCGCCCCGCCTCGCCCGCTTTGACGCGGCCCACCGTCACGGGGGTCCCGCTCCGCCCGCAGGCCCCGCGCCGTACGCCTCCTTCCTCGGCGCGTGCGCCGACGAGGGGACGCCGATCGTCGCGGTCGAGATGGGCGCCTTCAGCCAGCGCCTCTTCCCGTGCGCGCCGCCCTCGCCCGACCGGTTCGCGGCGCTGCTGCACGCGGCGCTCGGCCGCGGCGGCTCTGCACGTCGAGCGAGAGACGCCGCCCCAGATGACCCGAGATGGGGCGTGAGATAGGCTCTCGGCCGGCTCGGGATCGAGCGCGCCGTGCTCGTCGGCCACTCCCTCGGGTCGACCTTCGTCCACTACGCGGCGAGCCGCGACGGCGCCGGCCGAGTCGCCGGCGTGGCGCTGCTCGACCCGGTGGCGTGCCTGCTGCACCACTCAACCACCACGGGGGAGTTCGTGTACTCGTCCAACCAGGCGTCGCTCGAGGAGGCGCTGATGGACTTCGTCTTCAAGAAGGAGCTCTGGTCGTCCATCGTCGTCTCGCGCAACCTGCCTTGGCACGAGGCGTCGCTCTGGCCTGCCGACTGCTCGCCTCAGACGCCAACACTCGTGGCGGTCGGGGCGCGCGACTTGGTCGTCGCGCCCACCCGTGTCCGCGCCGCGTTTGGATCCTGGCAGGCGCGGCTGCGCGGCGTGCGCGTGCTGTGGATGGAGCAGGGCGCGCACGGCTCCTGGCTTGCCGACGAGGCGCAGGGGGCCGAGCTGGTGGCCGCGGTCCGCTCGCTCCGCCGGGAGGCGAGCCGTCGCGGAAGGAGGCTGCGCCTGCCCCGGCTGCGGGCCAACGAGCGGGCGGACGGCGGCGAGCGCGCCGCCGCCGTGGCGGGCAAGCCAGGCACGCAGCAGAAGCTGGGCGACCTCGGAATCTGAGGGGTGAGACGAGGGTATTGGGGCATGTGGGTCATGCACAGGCTTGGGAGCTTGTTTGTACCATGAGAATATCCTCTGTGAGCTGTGTCCATGTGGATGCTATTTATACATGCGGCTAGTTCCATTTCACTGTGGCACAGCTCGCGTTACACAATCTTGATTTTGGTCATTTGCGCCATTTGGTACCTCTCGGTGCCTTCCAGAAGCAGCTGCGTCCCCGCCGAGTGGACGGGGGCACTCGGCAGGTGGCGCGGAGTGCCCCCGTCCAGTCCACACGTCCACTCGGCGGGGTCGCAGCTGCCTCTGCGCGTCCTGGGGAGGTACAATAGTGTCGCGCGCCGGAGACGACTCGACGCCGCTGAGATCGGAGATCAAGCTCTGACAGGTCGCACGTCGCTCCTTGACGCCGACGTGACTCACCCGTGCAGATCACATCAGGACACGGTCTCGACGCGCTCGGTACGACGCCTGCGACCCGTCTTGGGTCAGGTGGCACGACGCTCATCGCGCCTGCCAGCGCTGCCGTGCAGGTTGCCACGACGAGGTCGAGCACGCTTCTATACGCTCGCCCAGCCTTCCTTTCCATCCCATTAGGCAGCCTGGGAACGGTGGCGGTCAGAGGCAAAGCCTACGAGGGGTGGTGGAACCACATGTCACGGCTACCGCCGGCTCGACCCCACGATAGCCTCCGGGGGCTGACTTTGAGGCACCATCATCGGACGATGTCGACGAGTTGGGTCGCTTTCGCGGTAGCCAGGTAGCCCCCCATACTAGTAGCACCGGCCATGGCCGCAGGAAGCTCGGGGGAGGGCGCTGTGAGCAACACGGAGCTCCGTTGGACGCGTTTTCAAGATTAGCGTGTCAGAGTGAATTGGAACTAGCTCTCGCTGACCAGCTGGACACGATGCCGTACGAAAAGTCCCGGCTGGCCCAGATCGGAAGAACAAACCAAATGGGTAAATGGACACGGAGGGGATATATGCTGGGCAAGGGGCTCGTCGTCCTCGTTTCTCTGGCCTTCATTGTTTTCGAGGTATTCGCCATCGTTGCTGCACAGGAGATCTATCAGGAGTACGCCAACGCCATCCAAAAAACTGCAGAAGGCGCCGCACAATACTACCAAGAGGTCATCTCGGCTTACTCAGAGCAAGAGGAGGCGCCTCCGGAGAAGGCGTAAGCACAGCGGGCAAGCCGCACTCACGCGCGCACACAAGGTGACGCGCAACTACACGCTCCGCCTGGCACGCGCAACTACACGCTCCGCCTGGCACGCGCACACCCAATAATGCGGTGGGGCTCCTGCCGCTGCTGCCGGCCCCCCGGGAGAGAGATGCGAGGGTCGCCCCCCCTTGCCCCACCACTTTTGTGTGTGTGGAGACGTTTACCTTTCCTTACCACGCACCTCCCCTGCCTTCGGCAAATCAGTGCGCGCCAGTCCCGTGCCCAGTGCTGTGTGAGGGATGGCCGTA